AGATCATCATTCTTTGTTTTTGTAACCACTAAACCCGAGTCTTTTTTAAGACCACAGTTATGAAAATGGTGGCATACCCATTGAGTTGTACAATTTGAAACGGACAAAAACAAACGTTCTTTTTAATATAATTCAACGTTCCCATTGTTCCCTCGGGGTGGAGCTTGTGCAGGCAGTGAACATTAGCCCCGTTAAACGAGCATTTAGTAAGTACCTGAGATTGCACTATAAATACTATGATACTAGGCTTTGCCAGGTAATTAACGAGAACATCAAATCAGCCACACCTGTACGGTTTATATTATTTTAGGACACGGCTGAAGTTTCACGGTAACGAGAAGGCGTAGAAAACAAAACTGTAAAAATGGATTTGTAACACCCAAAGCATTAGTGAATTATTCATTTATCAGTTGTATATAAAGACTAAAAGATGGAGGTTTTAAAAATCGCCAAAACATTATTAATTTTAACTCTATTGTTTGTTGGTACCCAATTCTTGACTTTTTAAAGTTTGTATTGAAAAAACAAAGGTAAATTTGATCGTTAATGAGAACAATTTCCAATTTATTTCTTTATTTTATACTTTTGTGTTTCAACATCAGCTTGTTTTCAACATTTTAAACCATTTTTATCCAAATAATAATATCCAAAGTTTAATTTCCAAATGCCTTTACTACTGTATGAATGAGTCATGCGCTGCTGCATAAACAATGATGTAATCTGCTAACGAGAGCAGGAGTTGAGTCGTGTTTGACCGTAAAGACGAGTTCTGGAGCTGATTGTAAACACGAGACGCAGTCGTGGCCCTGAAGCGGCTCCGCGAGCGCACACTAACCCTGTTGTTCTCTTAAAGCGTTCACATGAAAGTTCACATCCAATTAAGCATCACGGTGGCGCCACAAGCCTTAAGTCCCTCGGAAACATCGTGAAAAATCTGTCACCGTCCATTTTTGCAGCTTTTTTCTTCCCTTGTTTTTAACCGGAGTGGCAAAAAGGCCCGTTGTTCCCGGTTGTGGGGAGAATGTTCAGTTGGGCAGAATGATCTTATCTAAAAGCCGATGTTTCCCTCGGAGACAAAGCTTGAGAGAATCACACGACGCTCGAAATGTTCCGGTCTGCCTTCGTCTGGGGGGGGGGGGGACAAAACGGGAGGGAGAACCTGAACACGGTTCTGGAAGCTCCGGTTGTTTTTGTGCCTCAGAAATAAAAACCTCAGATAAGTTTCCCATTCAGTCAAATGCAACAGTTTATTGTCTCGACATTTTGTTTCCAAGTATGAAAATAATATTTCAGTTAATAAATAACAATAAATAATGGTGTGATTCGGGCGCTTCACTGTTTATATCACGACCGTGACCAAACACTGGAATAACCACACCCAGAAAGATCTGTATTCCTACTAATATTTAACTTCTGGATTAAAAAGTAAAACATTAAAGGGATAGTTCAGAGCTTTTGTAGTGGAGTTTAGTGGAAAGGATAGAAACTGTTTGGAGAAATGTTTATTTCTAAACAAACTGACTCACAAACAAAGAGGTGGTTATAAACAAATACTGCCAGAGAACAACGTGGACGAGACCAAAGTGGAACACTACTGCTCAATTACATCATCTTAAATATATCACAATTCATGCAAACGCATATTTATAAACTTTTATAATACCGTTCGCTTCACATGGCAGTTATTTTGTCTGAAATAATGTGATATTCCTGTTGGAAGTGCTACAAGCTAGCTGCTGCTAACGCTATTTGCATAAAAAGTAGTTTCATCTAAATAACTGTAAAGTAAAACAAACGGTTGTGTAAAAGTTTATAAAAAGATGTTTGCATGAACAGATGTGGCATTTTGAAGATTGGAGTTAAGATTTGGCCTCGCTTGGGATTAGCAGTTAGCTACTCGCTGTGAGTTGTTCATAACCTTCCCACCCTTTCCACCTCACTTCAAAAGATCTGAAATATCCCTTTAGCTCTCTTTTGACTGGGCTACTTTCTTTACGTTACATTAGTTCATGTCAACACATCAGAAAAACATCGTTCTGGCGTTAGAAAGTCAATTATAAATAATTTGACTTTTTTTTTTAACAACCATTATGTTTCTAGAGAAAAGGATTAGGACCATGTGTCATTTTTATTTACTTAATTCTGAGGAAAAAAGTCAGAATTTGAGAAAAAAAAAAGTCAGAATTCTGAGATTAAAGTCAAAATTTGAAAAAAAAAAAAAGTCAGAATTCTGAGATTAAAGTCAAAATTTGAAAAAAAAAAAAAGTCAGAATTCTGAGATTAAAGTCAAAATTTGAAAAATAAAAAAACGTCAGAAATCTGAGATTAAAGTCAAAATTTGAAAAAAAAAAAGTCAGAAATCTGAGATTAAAGTCAAAATTTGAAAAAAAAAAAAAGAAGTCAGAATTCTGAGATTAAAGTCAAAATTTGAAAAAAAAAAAAAAAGAGTCAGAATTCTGAGATTAAAGTCAGAATACATCAATTTAATTCTGACCTTTTTTCTCAGAATTAAGGAAAAAATAAATTGCACCATGGCCCTAATCCTCTTCCGTACGTTTCACTTTCATGGAGTCAAATAAAAACGTGGGATGGTAAATAGACGAGGTTTTGTTTACAGTTTGATAAATTCAGCAGCAGTCGATGAGAGCGTTGAGACGTGGGAACGCCGTGGACGGTGCGGATCACGTGACGGCTTACAGTGAGTGGTTTGTGATTTTTGGTTTTGATTTGTGACCACCCTTCCTGGTTTTTTTATTTACTCGAGCTCTGCTATTTATTTACAGGTACGCAGTAAACAAAGTTACCGTGTGTCACAGTTCAAGTCGACCCAACGTCACAGAAAGCATCGAAGAGAAACGAACGGACCCCCTGCTGGTGTTCTGCTCAGATGAGTTTTATTCCCAGAACACTCAAATCAAGTCCCACAAGCGCCCCCCAATTTCACTTTTTTTAGGTTCAAGACGTTATTTATTCAAACGGTGGGTCAGCAGTTCACCTGAGTTTAAGAACTTTCAGCTCGTTTTTGGTTTTCTGGCTGGTTAAACAAACGATTCGGTTCAGTCTTTAACTGAGACGCTAACGAGACGCTAATGAAACGACTAAACTTTTAGCAGCAAAGAGCCGAACTTCAGCCTGGAGGTAAAAGTGAATAAAATCCTGTATCGTGCTTATCGAGGGCTGCACTGGCTCTAAATTATACTTTCTCTAATAGTTTATACTTTTAGTACTTCGCCTTTTAATAGTAAAAATATTTAAAATCATAAAATATTTACAGCATTTTCTCCAACAGATAAATCCAATGATATTTAACTTTCTTTATCGGGAAAAGTGTTAATTTACAAAGTTAATATTAGTGTTAAATGTTTAAAAACTAATTAGAACCAGTTTATTTTGTGTTTGATTAATTGTATGTTTTAGTTCATTTACTCAGTAAACAAACAAAACCAACTTTTAACGTTCTCTGTGAAGGAGGCCGAGGCCACGCCCCTTCCTGTTAAGGCCCGTCTGTTTTGATTGGTCAGCTGATCAGGCTCCACCAATCAGAGAGCAGATCAGAAAAAAACACGAAAACCAGATTAAAATCTGAAATTTACCAGAAAACTCTGTTTACTGAAAATATTAAATTCTAATTTAGTCAAAATCTTTCCAACACGGAATATATGCATATTTTAAACATTATTTATTTATTTTGTTCAGCTGCTCTCTTCCTGGGCAGCACGGTGGTGCAGTTGGCAGAGCTGCTGCCTCTCAGCGAGCAGGTTGTCTGATCGTGCCTGGAGCTGACCAATCAGAATAGACCTGCCTTATATGGAGGGGGCGGGGCATCAGCTAGCTGTTTGTTGGCCGACTGAATAAATAAACTTATAATTAACAGAAATAATAAAAGGTTAAACCCTTTAACCCCTGAGTTCAGGATGAATTAGAAACATTTTTAATGTTCCCCCAGAAATTTAAGAATAATTAAGATTAACTACAAATTCACCTATTTTGTCCTCATGGACAATATACTTGTCAAGATATGCAATTTACATAATATTTACAATTGTTTAATTTAATTCTATAAATATTTTAATTTATTGTTTGATTTATTTGTGTTTACAGAAAGACAATACCAAATTTACAGTTAATGCTGCTGAGAGGCCAAAATATAAATAAAACGGCAGATTTAAGAATTCAAATTAGAAGTAAAGAAACCCGATATTGGTCCTTTGTTGCACAAGTTTTTTTTTTAAAACAAAAATAACACATTTTTTTGGAAACAGCTGAATCAATCCAGCATGCAAGAAGAAATAATCCAAGTCAGACTTCAGTTGGATTAAACCCATCCTGAGACCAGGTGCAGTAAATAAACCAGGTTTGGTTCTTGTGTAAATTTGGGCCACGTTTTGCTAAAAATGGCCCAAATCCACAGAACCAGACGGAGACTTGGCAGTCATCGCAGGGCAGCGCTCCTGGGTTTGGCTGGTCTGAATCCAGGAAGTGATCAGCATCACTGAGCTGGGGACAAAATAAAAAGCGTAGACTCAAGTTAAAGATCTCCGTTTCCTCGTCGTGTCTTTGCCTGGAGCGGCCCACGGGCCAGCAGTCGACCAACGTGCTGCTGCTGAGGAACAAAACTCTGCAGGCAGAAATCTGGAATGTGATTCTTGGAAAGTCGAGGAAAGAAGCTCCGAGGACGACATCAAAACAAGAAACACGACAACGAGACAAACAGAACATTAACGAGTTCTTCTCTGTTCCACGTGGACGTCCGCTGGGATGGAGAGTTCTGTGCATTCACACAGAAACTCCGGGTCAAACAGAACTGCTTGGTCATCTTTTGATCCACTAACCTCTCAAACTGCAAAGTCTGCACTGTCCTTCCCTGTCCCCACCCGCTTCTCCAGAAAGTCTGAGTAATGTCCCTCCTGAGGTTTGGGAGACAGACGTGGCGTCCCTTTGTCCCAGCTCTGAAGGGTTTTAGTGTCCTCCAGTGACGAGGCGGAAAGACGGCAGCGATGACAGCTGCGTTTGTCCCGAGGCGCGCCTCTTTGGACGGACTGCGTCTCCTCTCTCAGAGAGACGTGGACTGCTTGATGCTGTGGAAACTGACCCGGGACGGTGATGTTGGGATGGACATGGCCTGGGTCATCCTGGCCCGGATGGAGTGCTGCTCCTGCCATCGGTGGAACCGCTTCCTTACAGCCGAGCGGACCTGAAAACAAGAACCAGACCGATGCTAAGCCGTCGCTAACAGGTGGAGATCTCATCGAGATCGACTGCTGTCGTTTTAGCCATCTCTACCTAGCTACACTTAGCTGCATCTGGTTAGCTTTTGGCCAGTTTCAGCTGTTCCTAGCAAGTATTTTGCTGCTTAAGGTTACATTTAGAGTTCTGTCGCTTTTAGCTTTTAGTTTTAGTGCACGTTTCTGATGTTTGGTTAAAAAATCGGCCAAAATAAATCAACATCAAACACGTTTTCTAGCATTCACAGTTCTCAAAATGTTTTGTAACAGAATAATGTTTCTGCTGAAATAACGATGTAAACTGAAACCGCTGCACGCAGTTTTTGAAGAGTTGTTTCAAGACGGCTGTAATCGTCTTTGGCCCCACGTTAGCTCTGACTAGTCGTCTGCTCGTCAGTCCGGTCTAAATTAACTCCATTTCTCCAAAACGAAGCCGGTCAAAGAGCTGCTGGAGACAGCTACAATAACAGCCGTTTGTTTTACATCTGAGCTGTCGGCTGCTCTGCAGACGGTAAAATTAAAGCCTCCGCTCATAATCAAAACGACGTTAAAACATGGCGGCAGCGTTATTCTGAGGGTTCCCCTCCTCGTTTCTCTGGATCCAAACCAGGTCTGACGCTGTCAGCAGCGCAGAAAGTGATGTCACTTGTGTTGGCACATGACAAGCTCTAATTGTGCCCTAAAATAAATGTTCCTGGAGCTGAGAACACACAACAAACAGTGTGAGTGGATGTGCCTGAGGAGGAGCAGGAGGAGCAGGAGGAGGAGCTGTGTATCACTGGAATGTTAAATCAATAAGCCGATGTAAATCTGCTTACCTCACTGTTTAGGAAGCAGTAAAATACTGAGACGAAGAAGCCCTGCGTGAGGAGACAAAGAGGACAAAGCATCATCAGGAAGGAGAGCATCCAGAACATCACAACTGTGATCCGTTTAAAACCGCTTCTCCTGAGGATTACCTCTCATCATCTGAGAGTTCTGCTCTCTGATCGTCAAAACACGACCTGCAGCCTGAAGGAGGCGGGGCGTCGTGCAAAACGTGAAGCACAACAAAGTCACAAACGAAGGAGCTGAACCGATTATCAGGAAAAAGACTAATCTGATTAACGTTGGTCCAGCTCCACGTTCCCTCTGAGAAGCATCTCCTCCTCCTAACAACGGTCCAAACGTCCAGGACCAGAGGAGACTGGTTGGAGGTCTTGCAGGACCACAGGAGACTGGTTGGAGGTCTTGCAGGACCACAGGAGACTGGTTGGAGGTCTTGCAGGACCACAGGAGACTGGTTGAAGGTTTTGTCCCATCTTGGTCTGATGGAGGGTTCCAGCTGTTCTACAGCTCTGGATCTTCTCTGCTAGATGGAAGCAGATGTTCTAAAATCAGTAGGTACTTTCCTGCATTGATGGAGTCCTTCCAGAAGCTGTCAGAAGTACTAATGCACCCCCATACCATCAGAGAGGCAGGCTGTTGAACTGTGTGTTAATAATAATCAGAATGGTCCCTCCTCTTCAGTATGGAGGACGTGGCGTTCATGATTTCCAAACAGAACTTCAGATTTGGACCCGTCTGACCACCGAACAGTTCTGGACTTCACCTCGGTCCGGTTTCAATGAGCTCTGGTCCAGAAGAGACGGCAGCGGTTCTGGACGCTCTTCACATCTGGCTTCTTCTTTGCCTGATAGAGCTTTAAGCAGCATCTGTGAATGAACTACAGAAGATGATCTGTGGAAGAGTTCCTGAGCCCAGAACCAGACCTGGTTTTAATGCAGTGGCCCCTGAGGGCCCAAAGACCAGTTTTGACCTTCAGTCTCGTCCTTGGAGCTCAGAGACGTCTACAGATGATGAAGTGGAGAAGATGCAGACCTCACCAACATCAAATTATTCAGGATTTGTTCCACAGTCTTCACGCTGGTGAACCTCTGCCCGTCTTTACGTCTAAAAGTCTTTATAACGCGTTCCTCTGACGGACTTGTTGCTAATTAACCTACTTCATGTTAAAATGTTCCTCCAGATGTTTCTCATTGCCCCTTGAGACGTGCCGTCTCATTGAAACTTGGTTTGTCCACAAATGGAACAATTTCTTTGTTTCAAATCGACTTTGCTTTTTTATAAATATGAGTTTATGAGTTTCGCTCCCCTTTATTCTGCTTTTATTCACATTTTGCACAACGTCCCAACTTGCACAGAGAATCGAACAGATGATGCAAAGACGTCGTGAGAACTCGTTTACTCGTGAGATGAGCCGTACCTGGAACGACTCCAGGAACGAGTTGAAGTATATGAAGACGATCTGAGAGATCTCGTCTTCGCCCGGGTTGACGAAAAACAGCATGTAGGTGATTCCCAGGAGAGGAAGGAGAACCAGCGTGGCCTTCACAGCTTTCCTGCAGACGAGCAGACGTAGATCAGACAGCCGTGACGCCTCAGCTCCGAGTCTGTTAAAAGGCTCTTCAGGGTCTCGTCGCCAGGCTCCACCAACCCACAGAGGGGGGGTGGGGGCATGAATAATTCAAGGTGCGCTCGCTCATGTCGCTGGCATATTTACTGCGCCCTCCGCAGCAGCAGATTTACCTGTACTGGATGGTCTCGGACGTCGTGGAAGCTCTCAGTTTGGTCATCAGGATTCTGACGATGTTGAAGAGGAAGATGAAGTTGATCTGCGGGAGAATCGGACACAGCTTGAATTTAATCCGCCTCTCGCCTTTATTCAGCTGCTGTGCACCGCTAACGTGCACAAATATACATCCTGTTAAAAGCGCAGAGTAAACAATTTGTCTCCACTCAGCTGTACGCGTCACAAAATGATAAACGGATGTTTTAAATTAAATTTAAACACGTTTTGATGATAAAGAACCTGCCAGATAAAAAAACTGAAGACGTCTGCAAGTCCTGTAAATAATTAATAAATGGTACACCGATGTCTCCATCACTGAGGGATTCAAATAGTGAATGTTTGTAGCTTTTTAGATTGTTTTCTGGACGGGAACTGAACAGGCAATGAAGAAAACCTAAATGTTTTTGATGCAAGACATTCAAGTGGGAGGAGTTACACTGTGGAAGAACAGAGGGAGGTTTTTATTATTCTTGCCCGAGGCAGCGCAGAGTGACGAGTCATAGAGAACGGAGGGAGCAGTTTTATCCACCACCAGGAGCAGTGGAGGAGCCAGGGGGTGACTAATGGTGGCCTTGGCCCCCACAGATTAATCATTGTTGTACCGCTTATTTATCACGTTATCCAACTCACAAAGTTTGTATACATACAGTGGTGGGCACAGCTAAGCAACAAGTTAGCTTCACTAACCGCTAATTTACTAACTTAAAACATTTGTTTTGCTAATGCTAAACCGCTAAACAGATTTTAAAAAATTAGCGGACGCTAACAGTAAAGCGCTAACTTTTATCATACACTGCTGTGGCTGTAAGACTGTGATGTGACAACGTTGTCAGTGAACACAACTCCGAACGGTTCATAAATCACAGGTACAGCGTCCATGGCCCGTTCAGAGGTGAGCTTTCAGAAATTAATCTGGTCCACCAGAACCAAAGAGGCGAACAGAACTCTACTGAAGCAGAGTGATGCATTCAGTGTGTGTCGGACATCTCCCTCGTGTCATTTACTATAATTAATTAACTCACTTTATCCATCCTCTTTGTGGTGAACTACTTTTATAAACGAACTACAAAGCTGCTGTGGGTCGTCATAAATACTCTCAGTGATAAATCTGTTTGTATCAAAGATGTGTGAGAGTCACGTCCCAGAGACAGTGTGTGCGTTGCAAAGCATGCTGGGTAAGAATTATGTGTGCAATGTTTCTGACTGTTTACAATGTTTCTGACCGTTCACGGCGTTTCTGACCTTTCACGTTTACGGTCTTTCTGACTGTTCACGACGTTTCTGACTGTTCACGATGTTTCTCGCTGTTCACGATGTTCCTCAC